ATCAAATAAGTTGATTTAAGTGTTTTTTGTGTAAGTGGACTTACACCATCCTGCTCAGCTGCATTGCTTTCATCACGCTTGTTGATTTTCTTCAAGTAGCTGGAAGTAAGCCATAAGCCAGGCCCATGAAGATCATTATGTCCGGGGTATGAGAAATACACCTGACTGCAGTAATAGTTTTAAAAACAGATTGAGTTTATAGAGAGCGTGTGTTAAACCTGTTGTGCTCAACTGTGTTTAAACACCCTAGACATATTGCTCATGATGTTTTAGTGTAATTGGCCTCTATGGGCAGTTTCCATTACTGCCTGTGCAACCTTTGACCTCCTCTGGTACCAACGAGGTCTAAACTCTGTGCGGGGCCCGGGGAGTTCACAGGGAGCAAATGAACAACTCATAAACCCAGCTGTGCTCACATTTCAATTCCCTGCACCCCCCTACTGCTGGGAAATGTCCAAAAACAACAGATTCTTATCAAGAAATGCTCCACCCAGACATTTGAGAGCAGAGATGCAATTCTACCCAATCCCTGTTTCAAGACATAGACTTTATTTCTTTCAGAATCTTAGAAAAGAGAGTCAGTCCTTCAGCTCCGTCTCTCGCTGCTTATTTGTCATTCTGCTCACCTGTGTGTTTGCCACCCAGACATTGTGCTGCTATTGATTGACAAAGCCCCGGTCAGTGTGTGCCCGCCAGGTTATCAGTGACATCACTCCTCAGAAAAGCAGCGTTTGCCTCTTATCGATAGTTTTGGGGAGTGCATTAAGAGTAGCTGCTCAGCCTGATTTATTGAGACGCGCCAGCACCCAAAGGGCACCGGGTAACAATCCAGTCGCACTTCCTCTCCCGGCAAACACTGTTTATTTACTCACTCTCAGGGAGGCGATGAAGGCGGCGCTGACATACAAACAATCTTATGACGATGCCTTCAAGTCAAGACTGGATTTCTTCCTTCCTGCGGAATGTCTCAGTCAGTTGTCAGTCCCTCTTCCCCAGCCATGGGCCCTGTTGACACAAGGATCCGTCACTCCTCACACGAGGGAGAGCGGGACACGTTGGCGGCCATTACTATTCATGAGGCGGTGTGATCCACTCTGTCACCCGTTGTCAGCGAGAGGTGTCTGTCTGCACCGGCGCGCCCCTTACTCTCTTTATCAGCCAGGGGTGGCTAATGAGAAGCACCGGGTTAATACCAGCACCAGAACAGCCATGGCTTTTAAACCTCTTAATTCATTTAGACACTGCTAATTGAAACCCATGTGAACTACACTCTGGACACACCATCCATTTTCCTGCAAGCCATCACCGAAAGGGAAATGTGATTTAATTCTCATTCTTGAAAACTGACGGCAGGATTAACTCACCTTGAACCGGATCATCTTTTTATTTTCTGAGCAATTGCCAGCCCTGCACATGAGCATAGCCATTAAGTCATGTCGGGGAAATGTCGGAAGACAACCACAAGCTAATGTTCTTAGAAGCAGCGGTGACAGGCGACACCAAAAATAACCAGCTTTGAATAGTCCAAACATCTTAGTCCTATTACAGCGAGCGAAAAACAGCAGCCATGAGTGACTAACACAAGACAACCGCCTGGATGTGTCCAAGTGTAAATTAAAAACTCCCCCCGCAGTTGTCAGACATGACTTAGTTATCATGCACTTGAGTGTTTAATCAGCATGCAGTGAACACTGTGGGCTTGTTGACTAAAACCAGGAGTTCTTCCTCTCCTCTTCCAGCCCTCATGCATATGTATCCTGGCAGCTTTTGTCAATGCTGCTGGAAATTAATATTGACAACAGTGAGAGGGCGTTCTCTACACGGCCAACTCGGTGCATCTGGCACACTGACGCCTTTCTATCTTCCGTGGGATATCTGAGCTCAACTCCTTTTTCCCCCTCTGTCTTTACTGCCAACTTTGATGCATCGTTATGCTGCGCTGAAGGGCCGTGGCCTAATGACTGGAGATCATTCCACCTACCTAAGATGCAGCTGTAAATATTCAAATGAGCCATCATCAGTCGAATTTGTGAGAGATAACGGGGCCATCTTTTACCTGCCCCTTCTTGTGTGCGACAGCAGGATATATTTAGTTGACTGCATCATCGTCCCCGAAAGCGCTTGATTTGCCGGCATACATTTCCGCAGACACACATCCTTCCCCGCTCCCGCCGAGGCAAATGCTTATTCATTTCCCCGTTTGTCATTTCAATAGTTATTTTATGGTGGTGCTGTATTAATTGAACTGCCTCTACTGCACAACAATTCAAGGCCCAGTGAATCTATTACAAAGGGAGTGTGCCGGAAACATCGCTGAACGGGCTCACAAATCAGCCTAAGCTGAGAGGGGAACCTCACAATAATGTAACACAATCGCACTAATCTTTCATTTACAATGTGCTCCTTCCTCAGCCATGCACGGAAAATGTCTTAAAAGCCCGAAGAGGCTGCTGAGGAAAAACCCAGATTGGTTGTAAGGGAGTTCCAGGAGATCACTGTGTGTGGGGTAGTTGTTGGGCTTCATGGGAACAAATAACACTCTGTATGTTAAAGGAAATTACCTCAGAGATTTCGCTGCTCATCATCTGAACTGTCACAGGGAGGTTTGTGCAGGAATGTTTGAAACGTAATGTCTTACATTCATCATAGGTGAAGGGTCTCAGGAAGTGATCAGCTGCATATTGTGGTGTGCATGAGTTGTATTAGCTTTCTCTTACATGTAACCACAGTGCTAAGAAGGTTTTAAACTTGATTTCAAAGCTTTGGTGAGATTACAATGACTGCATTTACATGATTTAAGGGTGAACCAAATCGTGTTTGTTTGTTTAGGATTGCATGTATTAAAAGATACAGAAATAGATGCTGTGCCTGCTGAAAAGCTACTAATAGGAACATTAGTACATAAATAACACCACAACCAAATAAGATGAGACTTTATTTATCCCAAAGGAAATTCTACAACATAAACAGAACAGTCAAAAGAGAAATGAGTAGCAGAACAATAAGCCAAAACACTCATTTGGTAACAAGAGAAATACAAAGTTTGGGCGTACAAAAGAATAAAAGTAAAATGAAGTTGACTGGAGATACAGACAGGCCTGGGAGTTTATTATTCGGGGAATTTTCACTATATTTTACATTGCCTTTTTTTGGGGGCCACAGGTGTTAAGACACTGAAACAAACGTGAAGCAGACTGCGGAGCGGGGGATAATTCGAGTGTAGCGTACAATCATTTGATGTTTTTCTATAGCTTTTAAACCGCAACATCGAACTGTAACTCTACCTTTTCTTCTCGAAAGACAAAAGCAACAAACACGTATAGCTTCGACCAAATCGGTGTTCAAATGCTGCTCAACAGGTTAATGACGATGTTATGTTGGTTGTAGGCGAACCATTTTTCTTTAATTTATTTTAAAGCTATGGAACAGAGGAGATGGAAGGGGAGCTAAAAAAACACAAGATTGTTTATTGCTTCACCGCGTCATTGGAGCGCTGATGGAAGTCAAGGCTCCACTCCGGTTAGTAGGGTGTGACATAAGGACAACTGCCTGTTGCCTGTTAGCTTCATGTCATGTTGCCTTTTTTGCTTTCATTTTGAACGTATGGTAAGACTTAAAGCACTGATTCAAGCTTTTACTCTGCAAAACTATTGTGATCATATCCCTAATTACTGATGTTAAACCTTTGAGACACTTCCACTAAACAAAACATTAGAATAACACTAATTCATCTTCACTATGGATTGTACTGTAGCTTAACACTGTTTTGATTTCTCATTTTCTTAATAAAGATAGTCAGCGGAAAAAAAAGCCTCTTGCTCGCTTTTTCTCTTTAATTCATCTGTTATCTCCTGAAAGACTTAATAGTACTTCTGTGACTCAGCGTCCCGTTCTCTAAAACAAACAACAAGCTGCAGAGCTGATGGGGACATCCAATTTAACTGCCATCTTAATGGAATCTATAATAAGCACAGGGGCACAATAATGGCCAAGCCCTGCATCTTCTGATAACACAGCAGGCATCAAAACTCCTGCGATCACAAAACAAGTCCAGCTTTCCCCCCCCCCTCAGAGGAGCAGAGAACAAAGTGTCCAGATGTCATTGTCAAGTTGCTGCTGAAGTATTCCCTGTGGGCTCCTCGTGGCCGTATAGAAATAATCTGCAGCATGCAGCGCAGGGGCCCCTCTGCATTTCCTGGAAAAACCTCCCCGGACTTTAATTTCACGGGCACCTGTTCCCTCATGTGCTCATGGGCGGAGGAGTCAAATCACAAGACTTTGTTAGAAGCACTGGGGCCAAAGAGAGAGACCGCTGACGGCTTTCAAAAAGACGATGTTTGTCTTTCTCACTGTGTTAGTTTGACGGACAGGCATGACCACGAAAGTGATGAAGCCACCAAGAGGGCTCCGCTCTGGGAGCTGCAAGGGCCACAGATGTCTTGATGAGGTTGAACTGTGCTGTAGAGAAAGAGTGCGGGTACACCAGCTTGGAGGTCAAAGGTGGAAACGAGCTAAATAAGTACATGAAGTTTCTCTGACAGACTGGGCCGGAGCAGTGAAGCCCGATGAGATGAAATGATAGCGACTTTGGCTCCTTAACAGATATTCAAATGAGATTACATGAACGCCAGAGAAATGACAAATGGACACAAATGTGCTTTCATTTGTTTACTCTTGTGCGATTGTGTTAGGCGGCACNCATTCTCTGCTGCTGTTCAACTTAATAAAAATTACTTTGTAATAAAACTAGGGATGTCCCGATCACCCTTTTTTGCTCCCGATCCGATTCCGATCATTTGATTTTGACAATTTGCCGATACCGATTTTTCCCGATCCGATCTTTATGTAATGCATTAAGAGAGAAAAAAAAGAAAAAAAGCATTCAAGTTGTCCCTTAAGGTTATTTTTTTATTTAAATTGGATATTCTATCCAACATGCAAATGATCGGAATCGGATCGGGAGCAAAAAAGGGTGATCGGGACATCCCTAGTTTTATTACAAAGTAATTTTTATTAAGTTGAACAGCAGCAGAGAATGTGAGCAGAGTGCCTCTCTTAGTATTTCCATGACAAGAAAAACAATACATTATGCCCACATTAAAAATTACAGTATAAATTATATTTTCAAAAGCTTCCCAGCAAGCCTAGAAGCTGTGACTTAGTATGGAGGAATGTACATGCTTTAAACCGAAATGGTTGATGACTAAAATCCTGATTACATACAGTCCATTTCTGGTAGTGCCAAACCTGCAGAAATACTGACACAAGGTGGCCTTCAAAGCACATAGTTCATCAATCATCATGAACACGAATAAGTGAGACCAAAAATAGAGAATCAGTTGTTGATGAAAGAAAAGTTCATGTTTGATGTCCAGATGCTGAGGATGCTGGGCAGCTCATGCAGCTCCTCAGTACTGAGTGTACTCCTTGGATGAGGCTTTGGCAATGAGACGCTCCAACTGTCTCTTAGCTTCACACTGGGGGAAGTTACTCATCTCATAGTACTGCGGGGCGATTTTCACCAGCCTGGGACAGAAAGCAAGAAAACATCAGTCACAGAAATGTACAGTGCTAACTCGTGGGAGAAAGCTGTTCCTACATATTCACTGCGCCAACATATTAAATACTTCATTGTACATAGTTACGGAGGGGGATGTAGAACACAGGTAGTAATATTTATATTAATACAGAGTGAACGCTAATTTCACACAGGGAGTGCTGCATACAAGCTATCCAGTGAAGTAAATATAAAAATATCTATTGGACAAACTACAAAAATGTAAATAAAATGTTTTCTTTTCCCTAAGGTAAAAACAAATACACTGATTTAAAGCATACCATAAGTCATGATTGCTTGTCTTTTTTTTCATTATACTGTATTTACAAGAACGCATTTGTATTTCAAACTAAGTACATGTATGGACAAATTGAGATAAGTAAAAAGTAATACAAAATATAAAGCATATATAATATTTATACATATCTTATTATATCTTCTATAATTTAATTTTAAAAAAAAAAGTTAAATGGTGTAATTCCTACAAAACATAAATATTCCAACTACCTCCATCTTTTGTAAGTTAATGTAACATTATTTAACAAACATTAAACGTAACATTCCTTTCTGATAAGGATCTTCATATATTAAACCCACCACTCTGGTTTGACGTCGGTGCACGTGCGGATGTAGTTCTTGGAGGTGAGCACGAACTCGTTGTAGAGCACCCACTCCGGCTTGTGGTCCAGCACGGTGGACGGGTGCAGCTGCACCACCTGGTTGTCCTTCACCGTCAGGTAGTGTCCGGTGCGCTCCAGGTGAGCCACCTGTTCTCAGCACAGAGAGGAGGGGTCAGCGGCCAACACAGACACACACAGATGATCTTTATCGCTGGCTGTTACTCAACCACACACATGCATTAAAATCTGCAGAGCTCTGGAGAACAACTTGTGAGCGAGTTTCCTCAGTTTGCAAAGGCTGTTGTGATTAACCAAAGCAATCAGTCTCAATAAAGACCTTTCCCAACAAAGACATGATCTCCCGAATGCTGCGAGAGCTCCAACATGAGCCGCAAATTTGTCTCCACGATAAAGGTTAATGTTGACAAATATTTAAATATTAACGCCATAATTCAGCTTGTTTCAGGTAGCCCTGGAAATGGCTCATTGCAAATGCCATTTGTTTCCTTGAGCGAGGAGCAAATTGACGTGATTTTCTTGTATGTGTTCAAAACAAAGCAGCAGTGTGTATGCTTGTGCGTGTAAATGTGTGTGTGTGTGTGGCAGTCATTATCTCGCCTGCATTTTGAGTAGTGTGTTTTTTTCACATGAACAGCTCTCTGTCAAATTAGCAAACAAAGAAGAAAGGAGACTGAATAGCTAAGGTTATAAAGTTGCAAACATAGGACTAAAGAATCAAATAAACTCAAAATATTAAGCCTGGACTGCTTACATTTTTGGGGTATTTATTTATTTTTTTTTAACTTGTAATGTTTCTCTATAGCACATACATTCTCTCCAGCTCTAGATGTATTAGTAACATATGTTCTCTAGTGGCTGGGTCCCTTTTCTAAAGCATCCTCCATGTTTGTCACATGGCTAAAATATGTCTTATCATTGTTCTTGTATTTTTAAATGAAAGGCGACGCTCTCCCAGAAGCCCCTGCTGCGTCTGACCTGCATGAAGAAGCCGGTGATGAGTGCGCGGCGGATGTTGGTGTAGTAGTCTCTGTGGGTGAACTCGGTGCTGCGCCGCGGCAGGCTGAAGCGGTCCATGATCCGCGCTAGCTGCTGCCGCACGTTGTCCGCCGACATCAGCGAGCGGTAGTTCACGAAGTTCTCGTAGCACCACTGGTTGGAGTCGCTGTCTGAGAGACACGGGGGATTAAAAGAGAGATAATGTTAATATTCAAATGTTTAATGAAACTGGACCAAAAGGCTTTTTTTCATTTTTAACATTCAAAGTTTTCAATTGAAATGTTCAAATGAATGAAAGGAAAATAATGAAACAGACTTTTAGTTAATATTTAAAATATATATATAGTATTTAGTTATAGTAAATTGTGTTGTGATCTGTATATGTGCTTGTATTTTTTATTTTATTTTTGTTATTGAATTTTAATTTTAGCCCATGTACATGACTTCATTCAATTCTTACCCTGAGACTTTAAATAATTTTTTTCTTTGTTATCATACGCTTTGAAACTTATTTATCATAAAGCTAAGATTTGGGGTCTTTGACCAAAACATATGAACTCTCCTTCTGCTTCATCTAACTTAGTTGTATTGTACCTTGACTGTATTCTATCAATATTAAATTAGCAAAAAATAAATAAAAATGAAGCTTTAAATTGTCTTCTAAACAAAATCCTAAAATTTGAATAATGTGATTTATTGGCCACCTATGGAATCTTATTCTACAAAAATTATAATACTATTTGTGTAGTATAATATGTATCTACTGTGCACAACGCCTTTAAATACAATCATTAAACATTTAAAATTGTCATTAAAATCTGAAAGTCAACATGACGCTCCAAAGATTCATCTGTTGGTTTCAGCTCTATAGACCCAGTGTGCAGGAGAGGCCACTCACTCTGTTTGAAGGCGTGGTACACGTTGAGCTGCGTCATGTGGTCTCCGTCGATGTGGGCGAAGCGCATCTTGGACTCGTCGGCCATCTTTCTAGCCTCCGTGGGTCGGACGAAGCACTGTGGGACTAAACAAGGTTGGTACAGGCCCCAACACAGCCGCCCGGAGGGATAAGTTAAGCTGATCCCACAGAGAGGAACACGGCCTCGGCTACAGAGGCAGAGACTGCACTGAGAAGAGTGGAGAGGAGCAGGGGGGGGCAAACAGGAGGGAAGGGTGGGGGTCTCCGCCCTCATGCACTGCACTGAAATACACTTTAAACATGGGATAATATGCAAAAGGCTTTAAAATAAGTACTTTTATTATCCCAAATGTTTCAGAGAAATGTTTAATTGTAATCCTCTGGTCTCCTGTGATGGCGTTGGATCCCCTTCAACTTTAGCGTTGTCGTCATAAATTGACTTTTTATTGAGTTTCAAACCACATTTTTACCATACATCTTTTTTTATGACATCTGGATACAAGTTGCCAGAGAAAAATGTAAGCTGATCAGAAAAACACAGATTTCTACCATCTAACTGCTTTATTCACTGCACAGGAGAAGACAGTGAATACCTCCTTAAGCCACACTTAAAGTTGATTTATTTATTCTTTTTTATACTCAACTGTGTTTATATATTTCTATTTTCCGCTCCATATTGTCTTGTTTTTTTACAAACATTGTTACTTTTAATCTTTGCCAGTTAAGTTTGCTAGCATTGTTTCACATCGCAGCACCACTGTCAATCCACCGCTTATCAATGGAGGTTCAAAGTAAACAGCATTACCATCTTATAGATCACATTACATTAAGGAAGTAAATAAATGAGAGGTGAGTTCATCCAGAGGACTGCGGGCTCCCCTGTGTGAACTCGCTCCGCATTGCTTAATGTCAACCCTGCTCCACTGTGTCTTTAACGGGTGAACCTGTTTTTATTGAGCCTCGTGGTTGGCTGCTGTGGCGGCAACATTCTCAGGTGTACTTTGGCGGCTCGCTTCTAATGAACTCAGCACAAAAAGCTGCCGTCACGAAACACCCGCTTTAAGTGCACACCACGTCCAAAAACAGCTAGTTAAATCCATTTCCCCGCTCTCAAAGACCCTCGCACTCCCTTCAAAGGCGTCAAGATTCATCTCAATGAGCAGCATTCTGCTTTGGCAAGCCTAAAGTGCAATTACTGCGGCAGCATGCTCCAGCTACACCTATACATTTTGTACGGACATGTATTTCCACCTTCTTCACAAGTAAAAGCTGACACCACTTTCCCCTGCTTGCCTCTTAGTTAAGTTCAGATTTAACTTTCTCACTTCTGGGGTCTAATATTTGAACATCCATTGTTTACACAGGTTACAGTGACAGTAAACAACTTGTCGTCTGCAAAACAAGTGACTATTGCCATCGTTGTAAGTAACACGATTCATTACATCTTAGTTAACGATGGTAAAAAAAAAAAGTTCTCAAGGTATTATGTCGTTTTGGAGCTTGTTTAGCTTCCTGCTCTTAACTTCCTTTTCTGTTACATAAGTTGAATTATCTAGATGTGCTGTGTATATTTCCTGTGCGCTCATTGGTCCGTGAGCACTGAGCGTTACCTGACAACATGGCGGTGATGGAGAGGATCTCGTTGGAGCAGTTGTATTCACAGCTGGCGATCACCATCTTGGCCAACTGGGGGTCCAGGGGGAACTCGGCCATCATGGAGCCCAGCTCTGTCAGGTCACCGTCGTCATTCAGCGCCGCCAGGTAGTTCAGCAGCTCCAGGGCGCGCATCAGGGTCTCTGGAGCTGAGGGGAGGCAGGATGGGGGGGGGGGTGGATGGGCCGGTAAATAATGCTCGAGGCAAAACACACACACACACACACGACAGCCGCAGAACGATTTCCAAAATGTCTTCATCACAGCAGAAGTCGAGAAGAACAATTTGGAGCAAACACAAGGATGTCACGAGTGATTAATGCTCATGATTCACTGAATGTCTTTGAGTTAGATAAAACCAGACGTCTCAAGAAGTCACCTTGGGTTTATTATAATAGACAATTAGAAAGTGTTAATAGAAGTTGCAGCACTATTTAGGTGTTTGCATCTCATTAGTCTAACTTAATACAACACTTGTGCACTGGCATTAAACGTTAAACCAAAACAAGTCTGCAGCACTTAGTTAAGCATTTATGTTCGAACGTGGCTGATAGAAGCTTTTATAAATAATAAAGAATCTGAAGAAACTACTTTTTCTTTTTTAACAGTGACATGAGTACTCTATGGAAAAGAGAGTTTGAGATGTGAACATTTTCACATTCAAGCGACTAAGTGTTGCAACGTCATTTTCCAAATGGTGGGACCCATTTCAGGGCAAAAACAAAAAATGTAATAATTGCCATTTATTAGATTTTAGCGGAGGAATATACAGGGACATTTCTGATCAGCTGGTATGATATCAACTTATTTAATGAGAAGAACTGTAACCGGAGCAAAAACATTGATTTAAGAAAACTAGTTATATCTTCTATTGCGTAGTCCTACTTGTTCATTTTATTAAGAAAAGTGTCAATACTGATTTATAGAGTTTCATATTTATTGACTATAGTTGCCTTGCCTATAGTTGTTTAGGATTAGGATAGGACACTGTATATACACTTTTTTATATTTTTAAAGTTATATACTTCTATATTCCAGTGCACTCGCTCCTTTTGCACTTCTGGTCAGATGCTAACTGCATTTTGTTGTCTCAGTACTTTTACTCTGTGCAATGACAATAATGTTGAATTAAGCCCAAAGTTAAAAAGCTGATATGCTCAGCACCGGCTCCCCTCGGACCTTTAACAGAAGACAGATGTGTGTTAAGGAAGACAGACCTTCAAACAAAAGGAGCGTAAAGCTAATCAACATGAGAAGCTGCCTGTGTGTGACCACTGTTACGCTAGACAGCAACTTAGCGCAGAAGTAATCATGGCAGAGCTCATTTTTCATCCTCCGCTCAGGCAATCCTAAACAACTAATGCAATTACAGGGGAACTTTCTACTTAATGCTTCAACACAAAAGGCTTCCACCGTTTGGTTAAAATATTTTTCCTCCAGATGCAATTATTGACCTTTGGCTGCCGAGAGCTGGAGCCTAATGACCAGTTGCATGTTAACTGAAAATTTGCTTCAAGCTGCGACTGCGCTGCTCGTTCACTTTCATTCTTCTCAAGTGCACCCCCAAAAAAAAAATTCAATTTCAAACAGTAGGGAGGCATTTTTTTTTATGATTAACAAATATTGATTCGGGGCATCAAATCTACTTTTTTTACACAATTGAGTGCCGGCCAATTTACTTACCACACCAAGCGCTTGTGCGGGGCTGTGCAAAAGGGAAAAATCTGATTTCCAAGTACTGCTAGCATGATGAACCGGTGTGGAAACTCAATATACACAAAGCGGCTCATCAGAAAGTAAGTATCGACTGCCTGGAAACACGAGAATCCGATATATTAACCAAGGGCCAAATCAATGAGACGAAAGGCTAAAGGTACATTAAACCACAGAGGCTGCGAGGAGGTACTTCTTTGGAAATGTCACGAGGCAAATGAATCCCACCCAGCCCAAGTCCTTGTGTAAATCACTACTGATTTATTTTGGATTTCCATTTGGTTGGCTGGCTCCTGAGGTTAGTAAGCGAGGAGCGGGGTGAGCAAAGAGAGAATTGACCTATGTGTTCGAGCTTTCCAAAAAGAGTCAAATTGAATGTTACTGTTTAGCTCACGGACAAGCTGAAGTGGAAAACGGTTTGTGGATGATCATCAAGGAGACATCAAAATCATCTGAAGGCAGGTTTTGGGTATTTTTGACTGGGACGATTACAAACATGTCCACTTATCCACACTTTAACAGGGTATATGCAGGAATCCTCAAGTCACATGTAATACCTTTTAAGACCTTTTTCATGACCCTTCCCATACATATTAAGACCTCATCAACACTTTGAGTTCTAACCGGTTACATTGGCGACAAACTTTACTATATACAGTATTGATTGTAAGACAGCACAACTAAACAGTGTATGATAACTCCTTATCATAATTTGGATAAAACAAAGCACAAGAGAATGAATTGTGTGACCAACAACCCAATGCAAGGTTTATTAGAAAAAGAAACTATTAGAAAGTAGTATTTGATTCAGGCATTGTTCCCAAGAGATAACACAGACAGACTACTGAAGCCTCCTTTCCACAGGAACTTCAACCTCTCTGTCAAGGTCAGGTTTAATGCAGTATGCTGCTTTTTTGCTTCTGTAGACACACTTTGTGCTCTTTCATTCCAGTAAAACTCCTCAGAAATCATTAGAAACCAGTATGTATTTATATTAGGGGTGCACCGAATGGGAAATTCTTGGCCGAAACCGATACCGAAAATAGGAAACAGTTGGCCGAAAACCGAATGCCGAAAATGATTAATAGAAATATATATATATATAATGTATACATTTTTTACCAATGTTGTTCAGCTGCCTGATTATGGAAAAAGACAGGATTATGGCAAAACTTAACTTAAATAATAATCACTATTATGGGTCCATAAAACATTTATTCAGCACTTCTGAATGCATACAGTACATTAATTCCAAGTCAAGTGCATTTTCTTTTCTCTGTAGGTAACTACAACAAAGTGCATTCAGAACAAAGCCAAGGTGCTTTAAAACTGCATAAACATCTAGGCCAGTAGGCCTACAACAAAATAGTGTAAATAAAGACTGTAACAGCCAGGCCTTCAACAACAACAAATGCACCTATAAGTGCATGCATACAAATGTGCAAACTGGATAAATCCACATGAATGTAACTATTTACAAATGAAATTACTATTGAATTTCAAGAATCTGTAAATAAGGCTGTCTGTCCTCATAAGCAAAGTAGTAAACATTGTATAAAGATACATAAAGTGAAAACTGGATACAAAATTATTAATCAATTACAAATTAAATTACAATTTCAAGAATCTGCAAATAAGGTGGTCTGTCCTCATGAGCAATGTAAACAACATTGTATCATTTAGATACCGAAAGTACAATATATTGAACACTGTGCTGCTGTCATTTCCCCCTAATGATAACCTGAGATGGTGAATTATAACTCACAATGAAAATGGTTCAGGAAAGTGGGTATAGAGTAGACATGTAGAACTAGATAAGCTTATGATAAGCCAGCCTTGTCTACTTATTAAGGAAAAGTGGGAGGTTCTTTTTAATGAACAGTAGCTTCTCTGCTTTATCAGCCATAATTCTGTTCCTCTTCTCATCAAGCACATGAGAGGCAGCGCTGAACAGTCTCTCGCTGTCAGTGCTTGTGATTTGATCTTACTCCGCATATTTGTCCGGGTGTTTTGATTTCAAGTGGTGGAGTAATCCCGAAGTGGTGAAAGTCTTTGCAGTTACACCCCCTCGAGAAATGTCAGCTGAACACGTTTTACAAATCGCAATCCGCGCCTCTTTCTCAAATATTTTTAAATATCTCCAAGCGCCAGACATGTTGGCTGTGAGCCAGCCGCGAGCATGGTCGCGCGCCGTGCTTGTTGCCGCGTTTTGATTACGTCATCACAACAACACGTTAGCTTACCAACGTAACCCTGTTCCCTGACATTCGGTGATATTTTTTCGGTTCGAAAATTATCGGCCAAAAATGGTAAAAAAGGCCATAGAAAGGGCCTTTTTAACCATTTTCGGCCGATAATTTTCGGCGGCCGAATATTCGGTGCATCCCTAATTTATATTTATATATATATATATATACACATATACATATACATACATATACATACACATACATATACAAAACAATGGATAAAACTTTGAAACATATTAAACTTTGGTGAGCTTCAGCGGGGTAATGCCATATAGGAGCTCCCTCACAAATACCCAGGGTTAAATTGGGCCGGGGCTGTCCGGAGACATAGGACGATGTTCTGAGGTCATCACCCTCGCACATTTGTCATACGTTTACAAAAAACGATACATATATTAAGACTTTTCTCATTCTTAATATAGACTATATTTAGTGTTGACTTTACTTTTAAAATAGCAGATCTCTGTGACCGGATATAGTTTGGCTTAGTGAACATGTGTCTCTTCCTTGGAGGAGCAGCATCACCCAGACTCCGCAGCTCCTCCGCGGCTCCTCCGTGCAGAGAGCCTTTACTGCAGCGGTGTGTGTCAGCGACGTGCAGTCAGGGGAGGCACGGATTGGCCATCGGGAGAGTCAGGACTTAAACGCCGCGGCTTTCTGGTTAGCACTTAGCATGTGGGACCGGACAGCTTTGATCCCCATCGACAGACTCTCTCCCCTCCTCCCCCCCTGAGGGAGCAAGGCAACGAAACTTAAAATAAGAAGCAGCATTTTATGGCGCGCTATGCATGGGGCTGCCTTGAGGGGGTTTCCCGACATGTCGTTTCAGTAAATTAAAGGGTGTTTCATGTTGTCGTTGCTGTGGACCTTCTTAATACCTTGGAAAATGCCGTTTAATACTTTTTAATAGCCTTAATTTTCGCTAAATTGATTTATCAACTTTTAATACTTTTTAAGACCCCGCAGACACCCTGGTTAAGGATTCGATCCATGCCAAAAAAGGATTAACGTAGCAGTTCAACCATCAAAACCCTGTATGTCTTCAGACACCCTGCGCTGACCTGTCTATATTCTCTGAAATGTGC